ATATACACTTTAAAAGTTTGTCAATTTCATAAACGCTTCTGAAGAGTACAATAATAAATTGGGTTTTAAAAGGTTTATGAAATTAATGAACTTTTAAAGGGTATATCAACAGTGATAAACCCTAATGGGTTTATAAAATTGCAACGTATGAAATATGCTTTGAGGGTTTATCAGTCTAAAAGGTTTATGGAAGCGTTTATTACACAGAATAAACCCTTAAAGGGTACATGTGAAACTGTTATACCCTTTTGACGGGTTCATTACTATACGAATATTTTTTTCAGTAAGGTGGTAGTAGTGAGTTACCGTTACTAAAGTGACGTTACTAGGTAACGGGTAACGGAAAATTTGTGAAATTGATTCTCACAATGTAACTATCTGTGCTGATGCGCGAGAAGATTTATCATGTTCTGACCAAATTATCATTCTAATTGTCAAGTTAACAAATTTTAAATATTCCATGCCCATAGCGATCATCGACAAAGATATTCAATTTTCATGATAGTCACCGTTTCTGTATAGGAGCATCATTATATGAAAACTATTCATATTCAATATTTTATACGATCATTGAGTTTTTGAAGGACTAAGTTTTTTTAATCTTGTTAATATTTGTCGATCACATTGGATTCATATAGGATTCCGCTTCTTCTGAAAGTTTACCGATATCATACTGTGAAAAAAGCTGGCATTTTTTTAATGAAAAATCATAGGTTCGCAGCGTTTTCGATTTTACTTTATAAGATACCAGTAGATTTACTACAAATGGAGGTGAAGTCTTACAATTAAATGATAGTAACAAAAGTGTTTTTGCATCAAGCACATGCTAAGAGTGTTCGCTCGCCCAATTAACAGTTGAACAATACAGAGCATAGTATTTGAAGCAAATATCCTTTGGTTGATGAATGGTGCTAATTGTTTTGTTGATTATCTTAGCTTGTACAAATCCAAACTTCATAAAATTTTTGAATCGTGGAGTAGACAGTTGATTCCGGATACCCGAATGCATATTTATAAAATATTGATGATTGCTGATAGTCATTTCTGTTTGGTTAATGTGAGTATAAGGTTCAATTTTCTTATAAAAAAACCACCACGCACGAAATAAAGCATATCTTGTGGTTGAATATGATCACACTGTAAAAAAAATCCGCAGAATAATAAATGGAAAAAACGTTTTTGATAGAGTATAAAACAAAAAAAGGGTTTATGAATTTGCAACGGGACATAAACCCTTTTTTTGTTTATGACAAAGATAATAAATGTTTTTCCGTTTATAATTTCGAAAAAGCGTTTATCAGATATTTTAAAAACGAAAAAAAGGGTTTGTGACCCATTGCAAATTCATAAACCCTTTTTTTCTATAGTGCAGTTCATTCTTCAGGAAAAATGAGTAATTGGCTGTCTTGATTCGGAAATACTGCTCTAAGCATTTGAAGATCAGCTTGAATTTGTGGAGAATTAAGAAAAAGAAGAAAATTTCTCCCAACCAAAGGCCATAGAACTTCATTTATAAAGATGCAATGTTTTTCATCGCTGCTTTTCCAAATTTTGAAGCTCATACTTAATATTTGGTGATATAATTAAATATTTTTGGACCATTTAACCAAATTTATTTTCTTTATGTTTGATAATGAGAAGAGCTCCGTGTAGCAATTGACCATCAGGTGATGTTATAGGTTGTATTGTACAAGAGTGTGCCACATTATTCTTCTGTCTTACAGCAACTTATGTTGTTGTTTCATCATTAAAGGAGGGAATTCTTGAAGAAATGTATTCTTGCTGAAATAAGCGATGATCACTATTCAAAGGTTTATGAGAAGAATAAGTTGAAAACAAAAGTTGTTGATTTTTTATTCAATTTTGTGTATCTATAAAATGCAAATATATTTCGTATTACGACAAATATTCGCGAACTTCTGATAAAAGTTAAAATACCTGTCAAACTTCAAACTTTTCTGATTGAGGAGAGTTGAGTGATAAGTTTGCTGCATCTTTTTGATGAAATTTGTGCTTTCGTGAACTTTCCAATAAATTGGTGACTGGCTTTGAAATCATTTCAATTTAATTATCTTGCTTTTTGTATTTCAAAACGTTTCGAGTCAGTATCATGGACGGCTTCTTTTTCAATAGTTCTTGGAACATAGAACTCGTTGCACATAAATTCTTTGACTTCTTGGAGATTTTCAAATTTTTTCTACCGTTCTTTTCAATATATTCACTAAATCTTGGAATATAACTTTTGGATTTTGTTTTTCGAAACCTGTTTTTAATAGTTGTAAATTTGTAATTAGTATGTTCATCGACCCATTCAATTATATTCTCCACTGCCTTCAAACGTAAAATAGTTACCAATATCCGCGCGTTGGTTTTCTTCATAATCATCAGTTTCACCGGTGCCTTCTCCTTCATCAGTTCTCTCTGCTTCATCAGTCGTTTCATCATATTCATCATCGAAGTTGAGAGTTTGATAGGAATACAGTTTATTAAAGTGGATGTTTTTAAATGACTTTAAATTCTCACATAACTTTTCTGTACCAAAAATGTCATCAGCATTTGTTGTTGAACCTTCGTCACAAAACTCTGTTTCAGTTTAAATAAACAAACTGTCTCGCGATGTTTACTAAATTCAATTATTTATTTGATCGAGTGGATTTTTCTTAAATAATAGTTGTGCTAGAGTATAAGGGAGAGCTTTTCTCTGAATTCACACTTGATTGTGATTTCGTAGCAACAGTCATAAAAGAAAACAATTTACATAGGACCTTACAAGTAAATTTTAACTTTCAAATTGAATATCTAATTATATTCATTAGATATTATGCAATTATTTAGCGTTTTATGTTTACTAGATATTGCAGACATTTCGGACTTTTTGGAGTTTCGTCTGCTGGAACACAACCAAACACCTTCTTTGCACTATGCTAAAAAATAAGGACTAATGAATGATGGGATTCTTTTCGCAGGGTTTCATGCAACTTTTATTTGAATATTAATTTACTGTCCGATAGTGCATGTCATTATCCACGTTACATAAATTGGCAAAGATGCGCACTTAAGTCCTTATTGAGATATGGCGTCTTAAATATAACCTTCGATGTAGACTCATTCAGAGTGACTTGTATAGTAAATACTTATATTTTAGGTCTATCAGGTTTTCCATAGATAACACAAGCTCAAATAAACGAATTTTTAAATTTCTACATTGATTGTATGGTTCTAAACATTATCCATAGATGATTTCCAACTTTGGAACTTTAATAGAGAAACGTTGGCGACTCGCGAAGAAACCTCTCAAGGTACTACATCTTTTTTTGACTTGGGACTGCATTCATTCGATGAGTACTGCCGAGCATTGAGAAAGTCTAGAACTATTTGGTTTCTTGGGACTTCGTTCTTATGATATCGAATTTCCACAGAAGTTTTCAACAAAACCCTGTACTTCGTCTCAGATCACACTGAAAGTTAACTTTGGAGTTTTAACTTGAAGCTGTGTACAACTACTAATCTCAATGGAACTAATTCATTCTGAAAATTTCAGCTTCTTTCGTTGCTTCTGTCATGAAATACAAACGTAAGTACACCATTTTCTTTTTCACACAATAAAATTTTTCAATATATGCACCTGAAAACAGAAGCAACAAAAAAGATTAAAACCTTCCTAATGAATTAGTTCCATTGAGACTATTAGTTGTGCAAAGTTCCAAGTCAAAACTTAAAAATCAACTCTCAACGTAGCCTGAGAAATTCAATAGCTTTGCTGCAATATTCAGGAAACAAATCTATTTTTCAAAAATCAGACGAATGAAAGAGTCTCGATAAGCACAGATAGTTAGGCTCTAGTGCGAAGCATAATTGCACAAAATATCAGGTAGTTAGCTACAGTAATTGTAGAGATTACTCCTATCTCCCTTTTTCTGTCCGCTATCCGTTCTATTCCATTAATAAGAATACACTGTCGTTTTCGTATGAAAGTTGTATGGAAAGTAGAATGCAGCTAACCCATGTCAGCTGTTCGAATGCCAATTTTCAGTAATTAGAATCAGCGATTGACGCCTGTTTTTCACTAACCGTGAGACAACGAAATAGTTACATAGATGAATAAACAATTTCCATGTAGTTCTCAACTGTCAAAATTTCTCTTTTTCTTTATGTTTTCTTCATCACTCAAAATACGATCGACACCATTGTATGACAGTTAGAGATTATAGTCCCAATCATAATTGCTTCTTTACTCTACAACTTTCAAAACTACTTTACGTTGATCTTTCGCATATTATCTACGTTCTAGTGGATAGCACACAGCTATCAAGCATCCAGATAACCTTAGGTTGATTTCACCGAATCTTTTACTCCATAAAAAGTGCCCAATCCATGGGTTGACAATGCGTCTTCACAAAACAAGGAGAGATACTTGAAATCTCAATTGAAACAGACCAAGCATATACAAAATACTATCTATTAGATTCTCACAATAACTTTCACGCGAATAAACAACCACGCATTCACACAGGCGGATCAGTATTCAAACAAAATTCGGTGGGTTCTCGTCTTCAGTTCTAGCATAATTACCGACGAATATTAAGGTCAATCAAAACGTACACGCACTGCTACGTTTTTTGGAAAACAAGCGATGCTTTCTTCGTAACCACCGGTATTTTCCGGCGTATCTTCGAATGTGATACCACGTTGCATCATTCGAACAATGATCGTTTTCAGTTCAAGCCAAGCTAATTCTTGTCCAATACATGCTCGATGTCCACCACCGAATGGAACCATCGCGAATAGATGGTGATTTTGATCTTCACATAAAAATCTTTCTGGTACAAATCGTTGAGAATCAGCATGATGCCAATAGCGAGCATCCGTATTGATGTTATGCAAAGGAATAAAAACAGTTTGACCACGATAAATCTTCACATCGTCAACAATAGTGTCACAAGTAGCTATACGGGTTGTGAATGCAGTGATAGGAGCCAAGCGTAAGACCTAGATACAAAGAAAAATATTACAAAAATGATGTAATATTTTGAAACACACCTAACCTCTTTTGTCACACATTCACAATACGTTAGTGAAGCTAAATTGTCTGGTGTAAGCGGTGGTACACATGTGAGATCATCAGTCATCAGAAGATGATGTTTGCACAATTCCTCTTTCATTTGTTGTTGCACTTGAGGATTTTTACTTGCGAAGAATATGAACCACAATACAGCGGTTGATGTTGTTTCATAACCAGCTAGAATCATCATCAAAACTTCATCGAACATCTCTGCACGTGTAATACCGGATGAAATTTGTTCATCGTTGGCTTGTTCATTCAATGATGAAACCATTGAAGCAATCAGATTCTTTGGTCGTTCATTTTTATTTTCACTTTGTTTATTTTGTTCTTCTTCAACAAGTTGTTTGGCGAATTCACGAGTCAATCGATAAGTTCGTTGATATTTCCAATTACATTTCAAATAGATTTTAGCTAACCATCGAGGCACCCAGGGTGCTATCGCAAGCAATAGGAAATGAAACACAAAATCTTGAAAAGCTTTCTTAATTGGTGAATTAACGTGAATATCGAAATCATGGTCGAATCCAATGAATCCAATGACATTCATCGTAAACGATTGACAGCATGAGACCAAATCTCGATGAACTTGTCCAGGATGAAGATTTTGATCAATAAAACGATCAGCACATTCAACAATTGTATCCAAATGATCGATAATCTTTGCTCGTTTGAACATCGGTGACAAAACTCGTATATGTCGTTTCCATTTAGCGCCACTTAACATCGTAATGCCGTTTGGACAAAAAAGATCGAAGTTTGGAAGAAATAATGGTGATTGTTCGAAAGTATGACGATTAGCAAATATCGTTTGAGCATGGTCTATTCGACAGAAAAATAAGCATCGATGTGAACCGAACCAAAATTGAAATTTGTCACCAAAACGACGTTGATAATCGAGCATGACTTCATGAAACACTGACTCGCCGGTCAATATACCGGAATTAATTAGATTACCAAAAAAAATATGTGGTTTCACTCCTGGTAGATCATCTGGTGATGGAGAGTAGCTTCGTTTCAAATAGATATAAAGCAGAATAATGAAGATTACAAAGAGACTTGCAAATATAATTGATACCATGGTGAAGAAAGGTATCGTAAGCAATATGTAGTGTTAATGTGCACTGTTAAAAAAAGTGCATGTTTCGTTTTTTTTCTTTCCTTCAGTCTCACTTTAATATAAAAGCTATGTATAGAGCAAAGAGAAACAGAAACAAAAAGAAACAAAAAAGAATGAACGAAAAGTGATCATGTTCGGTTCCGCCGAGAAAGAATGAAAGACGTTGCCTACATGTGACTTTCCGTTGCGTGTAAAGTAGCACTCTCTTAACATTTAACTTTTTCAAAGAAACTATCAATATATATATATGTCGGTAATGAAATCATTAGGAACCAAAATATAGTCGAAGTATAAAATAAGACGAGTTTCAAGAATAGCAATAGAATATGCCTAGAACTGACTAGTGCATAGAAAAACACAGTCCTTTACAGGTGAAATAAACGCGTCATCGTTAAAATAAGTAGTGATCTTTCTCAAAGAACATAGTGTGATAGATTGACCTTAGGCCTTTTTCAATCAGAGTCTATTGGAGCACGGAATTCATGAGTAAATATCAAGCACAAGCGCTACTTCTCACGTTTCTTATCGTGTAGATGAATTGATTGCTTTCGCGAGCTTTTTTTTATATGTTGAACAACTTTTTTAAAAGTAGACTATGGAAAGAAAACTAATGAATTATGCGAAAGAAAGGTTTTATGAGTATGAGAAGGAACTTAGAATCCCGAAAGAAGTATGGAACTTATCCTATTTAGTTGAGTAAGATAGGAAATTATTGCAGTTTGATGATTTAAAGCGAGTCAGTTACTTACATGTTTTATTGATGTTCTATTGATTGCAGTCACTCAGGCAGACAAGCAGATTGACTTTTTACATTATTTAAACAAGAATGGCGGCTTTTAGTCGATTATAATGGGTCTTTTTCGGTTATTTCAAAAAACGTACAAAAAGCCATTTTTTAGTGATTTTTTCTGCCTGTCCATTTTTTTCACTTTTTTTGTTCGCTTTTGTTTACAATGTTAGTAGATTTATGCAGAAAAGTGGTTAGCAAATTATTGTAACGGAAAAATGTTCATTATACATCAATAAGTTGAATTTTTGAGCGTCTATGGACTAAAGATTGTTTACCCAGCTTTTTTCCACGTCTAAGTAGATTTAGTTTTTCATTAAGAATTCGCGTTAATTGACCATCTACTTTAAGAGGAGTAACAGCGTTATTTTTTTTTCTTGTTTCTAATTTATTGGAATACGAAAACTATTCATTGTAATTGAATTGATGCTGTCTGTCTTACATATTCTTTTTGTGATGCATAGTATAATGACGAGTTAGTGGATGAGAAAGAAAGATAAAGTCTGCTACGTAAAAACGCCACACGAGTAGTTTAATTAATCTACAGGTGGAAACATTCGTTGTAGAAAAAATTGTGGCATAGTTAAACAGTTATCTACTTTCTGACTTATTTGATCAAAATACATCAAAGACATAATTAGAAAGGTATAGAATTCGAATGTTATTTATTATGAAAATGGTTATGCCTCGGTCTATTGAGTAACTCTCTATAAGCAATAAACTAATTCACAGACATTTCATGTCTGATATTGAAATAATTATCATGAATAAGTTTAATAAGCATTATTTCAAAAAAGTATCTATGCAGCACTTGTAACACTGCTTCCAGTAGCTTCATAAAGATTAGCAGTGATGCCAGGATTGTTATTCAGGGGGACTGAGCTCTCCTATACTCTCCTGTGGCATTGTCACTAATAACCATAAAAGACGTAAACCTCTTAGTCAAGAGAAGCCTATGTATTTCTTCTTGCAGATAGTCAATTCGTAGCAATAGAAGATAAATATTTGTGACACAACATGCATATATTTTTCTCATCGCATAGTCAACTCGTAGGAATAGGGATATGCATATTTCTTTTTAATGCGAGATCATTTTTTCCATTTTGGTATTCTATTGTTGCGGGCCGAGAGATATTTTTTAATATTTGTATTTTTTCTTTTTTATTCGTCTGCCAATATGTGAGGAGAGCGGGACAATTTGCTTTTTGCAGATCATATGCATTTTGTATGCAGCTAGCTCGTGACAATAGAAGATAGATGCCACTTGTTTAAAAAGGTAATTCTTTTTCAGCATGAAACAGATTTTTTGCTTAACAAAATTCTTTTTTTCTGATTATCAACTACTAGAAATAGAATAAAAAACTTCGTATTGAAATACATGTACTAAATTTTTTCTCCAAGTAGTTATAATTCTGTGATGACAGAGGATAGATCCTCTTTGTTATTTAAATAGGCATGCATGCATTCTTTTTTCAATAAATACTCAATTCTTGACATTCAATAAATATCTCCTATTACACATATATGAATTCTTTTCTTCCATAAAGTATTCAGTTCAAAGCGGTAAAGGAATGAACAATTCTTATCTAGTACAAGTCTATTTTGTTATTATCTCATATTCAATTACAAAGATACAGAGATCTTCAACTAGTATTAAAGTGTATACTCTTTATTGTCGATTAGTTGTTCGCCCATACGGTATGCAGACATATTCCGTATCTAATATTAATGACTTAGATTGTATTGAATCTTCAGTATTATAAGAGCCTAAAATAGTTTCTTTATCGACTATTTTTTTCTTAATGTCGACGTGAAAATCAGTGTAGCATCCTATACAAAGGGTCAGACAATAATATTTTTCTGCTATCTAATTACTTTCTTCTTTTAGTTCTTGTTTCATAGAGATGCACATCGCTCAACATATTCTCCATTTAACTTTTCATGAAATCACATTATCCATTCAATTGTACAAAGACAAGAATGTTAAGAATTCTTACTCTTCACCATAAATATGAGAAAATACGACAACACTTATTTCGAACATTGTTGTTCAGAGTTTCTCCGAAGCAGATTCTTAGTTGTGCAGTACTTTCAACTTTCTATGCACACTGCTATGACTGGAAAAACTCATAATACTTCTCCTGATATCAACCAGACTAATGATAGAAAACACCTTAGCGTGAAAATAAAAATATTGTAGGAATAAACTATGATTTGGAGCAATTTCGGACATTATTTTTCTAGATAAAGGTTGTTGTATTTTCTCACATTTGTTGTGAAGGCTAAGAATTCTGAACATACTTATTTACGTACAATTAAATAAATAATGGAATTTCATGGCAGGTTAGACAGAGAACGTCTTGACCAATGCGCATCTCTACACTGAAAACAAAAAGGGTTTCGTAGTTTTGTAACGAATTTGAAACCCTTTTTTGGTTTCGTATAATACTACGAAACCCTTTGAAAGATGTAAAAAGCATACAGGAAACCGTTTTGAGGGTTTCGTAGTACTATACGAAACCAAAAGAGGGTTTCGAATTCGTTACAAACTGCGAAACCTAAAAAGGGTTTCGTGCATATCACGAAACCCTTTTTTAGTTTCGTATAAAGCCTTTTTTGTTTTCAGAGTAGGCAACTACAACAAAGTAGCAAAATAAAACCTGCTATGTACAAAATGTGTACATTTTGGAAGGATTAAATTTTATCAAGTGTTTGTAATACAAAGTTCGCCATTTTTGGAAGTTAAAAATTCTGATGCTAAAAATCTATATAAAGGAAACAAATTACACACAAAATAGTACACAACTTTTTCAGAACCAATCATGTACAGAAAGTGACATATTTGAGTGTAATTGCAGTCAAACAAGTCTCTATTTGAAGTACAACAGATCACCCTATTATTAATTCGATGAACTTCTAGAAAAAGTGTTCCACATATACCAAAACAAAGCATCTATTTATCTGCTAGATTGCGATCGTACACCAACATACACCGCCGCTGTTGCGGATGAGGCACGTATTCTAATTCTGCATACTTTAATAATCAAACATTGACGACACAATCTGAGCATACCCGTTAAATAATTAATTTTTTCGAATGAAGCTGATTCACTAAATACGAATCCTAGGAGTGAAAAAGTGAAGGATCGAGAAGAACTCAAGTGATTACGAAAATATGGTGATAAATCGCCTATTATAGCAAAACAACTGAAGTGATGGATTGTTTAGTGACCACATCTTTACTTATTGTAGGTAACACAAAGTAATCATTACTGTCACTACTTAGTTTTGTGAGTTGCATCCAGTTCAAACTTTTCATGCTACCTTGTTTTTGGCTTATTTCTATATTATTTGATAAACTATGTAAACTAATAAAGAATAATTAGTTGTTCAACTTCATTAGTACAAGTTTTCACCCGAAACAAATCGGATAATTTCAATAGTATGTTTTCCTTCCAAAAAAATACACTACTGAACAAAAGTAACCACTCTGTTCTATCTTACAAAGGAAGGTCACGTACTGTCAGTGAAGGAGATTGAACATATTCGGGTCAAATGAAAGCCCTCACCATCAAGCTAACAAATTTGAAATATTACATGCCCATAGCGTATCTAGAGGAAGTTATTTAAATTCCAAGAAATGTAAAATCTAGATATAAAAGTGAATCAGGAAAGGATTTCTCCACTATTGTAAAGACAAAACATGGTGTTATTCGGGCCAAATAAAAGAGAGCCCTCCAAATCTCCTAATTGGCTCGAACAGCACTATGTTTTGTCCTTACAATAGTGGAGAAATCTATTCCAGATTCACTTATATATCTAGATTTCACATTCCTTGAAATTTAAATAACTTCCTCTAGATATGCTATGGGCATGTAATATTTTCAATTTGTTAGTTTGGCGGTGAGGGCTTTCATTTGACCCGAATATGTTCAATTTCCTTCACTGGCAGTACGTGACCTTCCATTGTTAGTGCCCATAAGAGCTAAACATCTGAAAACTCTTCGGCACACAGCCCATAGATAATGTAGATAAGCGGTAACATCAGCACTTGATTGGCTCAAGCCAGACCAGAGTTATAATACGTTGTATCTACGATCACTGTAAACCCTGTAACTCGAGATTAGATAACCTTTTTTGGGTCAGTCAATCCTTCATTTTGTAGCCATACACTACGCTTACTTCTGATACAAGTCTTATTAAAATTCATCAAGCTATTGACGAACTAGATCACTTTTACTGAATACATGAATATTCATAAAAACCATAGAATGCCATTGAATGAACAATCAGTAATTTAACAGGAGTTTGATCAATCCATCTGAAATTTTCAGAAGCGAATACTTTACCAAACAAAGATAGTGTATCGATAACCATCGCAATCGTGTCAAGACTCTGGAGTCTTCATTACTCAAGTAAATGGGCTCACCTTTTGAAAAATTATGAACCCTGGGTTGGACTACAATTTCATGCTAGAAGATTGATAACTATTCATGTACTACTTGAAAAAACAACATAGAAATTAGTAACCTTATTTTTTACTATTTTTTACTAAAAGCAGTATTCGTGGTCATATATCAAGATTTCACTGGAAACAAAGTTTTGGGCAGCTGTCGAGTTTTGTATAACAACAGAAATCATCGTACTTTAGACATATCTAGAGTTCTCCACAACGGTTTCATAATAAATGACGGTTTACAAGGACAAAGTTTGTCTCATGTTATAGACAGACTATATTATTAAGAGTTTAGAGGACGCTTCGTAGCAATTACTACCCTTAAATGATCTGGGGCAGTTTTAAACATAACTCTCAGCAAGTTCAGTCCCAATACTACTTGTTTGAACGAATGTGGCTAGGCTTTATAATCTCTCCAAGAACTTCGACTTGTCCAAAACGCTTTTTCCGGCGAAAGCCTGATATATGACGACGAATACTGCTTTTAGTAGAAAAATAGTAAAAAAATAGATTTACTGATTTTTATGTTGCTTTTCCATTAGCACATGAGTAGTTATCGATTTTATAGCATGAAATTGTAGCCCAACTCATGATTCTTGATTGTTCCAAAAGGTGAGCCCATTTACTTGAGTAATGAAGACTCTAGAGTTTTGACACGGTCGCGATGGTTATCGATGCACTACCTTTGTTTGGTAAAGTATTCGCTTCTGAAAATTTCAGATGGATCGATCAAACTTCTGTTAAATTACTGATTGTTCATTCAATGGCATTCTATGGTTTTTATGAATATTCATGTATTCAGTAAAAGTGATCTAGTTCGTCAATAGCTTGATGAATTTTAATAAGACTTGTATCAGAAGTAAGCGTAGTGTATGGCTACAAAATGAAGGATTGACTGACCCAAAAAAGGTTATCTAATCTCGAGTTACAGGGTTTACAGTGATCGTAGATACAACGTATTATAACTCTGGTCTGGCCTGAGCCAATCAAGTGCTGATGTTACCGTTTATCTACATTATCTATGGGCTGCGTGCCGAAGAGTTTTCAGATGTTTAGCTCTCATGGAGATTAAGATAGAAGGAGCGGTTACTTTTGTCTAGTAGTGTAGCTGTGGTCTCTATTCAACAGGATAAATCAAGAGACATTCACCGACACTGATTGCGAATCTTCAATTTTGTTTCTGAACTCTAGATAGGTCTTAATGACAGTAAGAATATCTAATGAGCATTCTTACGTATGGCTCTTCATTACCCAGATGTGGTTTAAATAATATCTTAAAATGAAAAGGAATTTTCTTTTCTTTTTAAAAATGTATATCTTGTGTGTCATTTGCTAACGACTAATTCACCAAACTGTTATTGTATAAGACCTGATGACTCGTGACATCACAGAGAAACAATGAAACAACAGAAAACATAGAGACTAACGAACATTGATGCTCTTTGTACATGCTCCAATATGATAAAAATGGATCGGCATTCGTTCGTTTGTTTTTCTCTTTTCTGTTGTTTCATTCTTTTCGTTTGAGATTACAAGTCACCAAGTCTTATACAATTATAATTTGATACACTGTTTTTGTTAGAAAAACTATGAGCTTGAGAAATTATTGAAGTAAAAGACTTTTTTTCAGCTGTCTAGATCAGAATTTACCGAGGCCCGTTTCGATGAAACAAAAAAGATATATATTTCAAAAACAAAAACAAAATTCCTTCCCTTTATCATATTATTTAGCTGGTATGTCGGTAATGAAAAATAATAAACAAAAACCTTCTCAAATATTGTTTAGTCTCACTAGGACTAACATGCAGACAAAAAATGCAGCTAAAAGCTCGCATTTAGTTGGGGTGAGACATTCGTGAATTATATCGTTGGAAAGAGAAAATTGTGTTTTTTTTAGAGAAAAAACTAGACTGTTGTAGTTCTCGTAATTGACTACAGTAAAGACTTTGTAATGATAAGATTGAAACGCTTCTTCATAATCAGCTTAAAACGTTGTAGCTAATGATATCAAAATGATCAGAAAAACAAGATACTCTGGAAATCGATAATCAATTTTGTAGAAAATCAGAAGAGGTATTTGAAAGATGAATTAAATCAGAACAAACATATAAACTCTAGTGTCTATTAGAGTCTCGCCATCATTTTCATGTAAATAAATAAGCAAGTATCCACATTAAATAATAACTATTCAAACAAAATTGGATAGTTTTTTGTGTTCAGTTCTAGTCTGATTAGCGAAGCATATTAAGATCAATCGAAGCGTACACGCACTGCCAAGTTCGTCGGGAAAAAGGTGATGCGTTCATCATAATCACCGATATTTTCCGATGCATCTTCGAATTTGACACCACGTTGCATCATTCGGACGATGATCGTTTTCAACTCTAACCAAGCTAATTCTTGTCCAATACATGCTCGATGTCCACCACCGAAGGAGTTCATCGCCAATGGGTGGTGATTCTGATCTTCAGCTAAAAATCTTTCTGGAGCAAATTTTCGAGAATCTTCATGAAGCCAATAGCGACCATCAGTATTGATGTTATGTAAAGCAATAAAAAGAGTTTGATCACGATGGACCATCACGTCATCAACGATAGTGTCACGAACGGCCATACGGGTTGTGAGATCACCAATAGGAGCCAAGCGTAAGACCTGAATACAAATAAGAATAGTACAAAAATGATCTCATATTTCGAAATAAGCCTAACCTCTTTTGTCACACATTCACAATAGGTTAGTGAAGCTAAATTGTCTGGTGTAAGTGGTGGTACACATGTGAGATCATCCGTCATCAGAAGATGATGTTCGCGCAATTCATCTTTCATTCGTTGTTGCACTTGAGGATTTTTACTTGCAAAGAATATGAACCACAATAGAACGGTAGATGTTGTTTCATAAGCAGCTAGCATCATCGTCAAAACTTCGTCAAATATTTCCGAACGTGTTAAACCAGATGAAACATCTCCGTCGTTGGCTTGTTCATTCAATGATGAGACCATTGAAGCAATCAGATTATTTGGTCGTTCATCTTCCATGCCAATTTGTTTATTTTGTTCTTCTTCGATGAGTTTTTCTGCGAATTCTTGAGTCAATCGATAAGCTCGTTGATATTTCCAATTACATTTCAAATAGATTTTAGCTAACCATCGAGGAACCCAAGGTGTCATCATAAGCAATGGAATATAGAACAAAATATCTTGAATAGCTTTTTTTATTGGTAAGTTAACATGAATATCGAAATCGGAGTTAAATCCAATGAGTCCAATGACATTCATCGTAAATGATTGACAGCACGAGATCAAATCTCGATGCACCTGTCCAGGATGAAGATTTTGATCAATAAACCGATCAGCACATTCAACAATTGTATCCAAATGATCGATAATCTTTGCTCGTTTGAGCATTGGTAACAAAACTCGTACATGTCGTTTCCATCTAGCGCCAGTCAACATTGTAAGGCCATTTGGACAAAAAAGATCGAAGTTTGGAAGAAATAATGGTGATTGTTCGAAAGTATGATGATCGGCAAATATCGTCTGAGCATGTTCCATTCGACAGAAAACTAAACATCGATGTGAACCGAGCCAAAATTGAAATTTGTCGCCAAAACGACGTTGATAATCGAACATGACTTGAGCAAATGTTGATTTGCCCGTCAAGATACCGGAATTAATTAGATTACCAAAAAAAATATGTGGTTTCACTCCTGGTAGATCATCTGGTGATGAAGAGTAACTTCGTTTCAAATAGATATAAAGCAGAATAATGACGATTACAAAGAGACTTGTAAATATAATTAATGCCATGGTGAAGAAAGGTATCGTAAGTAATATGTAGTGTCAATGTTCGCTGTTAAAAAGTGCATGTTGAATTTTTTTTTCTTTTGCTTCGATCTCACTTTTATAGAAGAATTACGTGTAAAATAAGAAGAAACAAAAAAAAAGAAACAAAAAAAATGAACGAAAAGTCATCATGTTCGGTTCCGTCGACAAAGAATGAAAGACGTCGTGTACATGCGACTTTTCTTGCGCTTCAAGAAACTCTCTTCACATTCGACTTTTTAAAATAAATTATCAAAATATATATATCGAGTATGAAATCAATAGCAACGAAAATATAGTCGAATTCTAATATAAGATGACTTTGAACAACAACGATTGAATGTGTCCACATCCGACTAGAGCATAGAAATACATGATAATATACAGGTTAAATAGACTCGTCGTTAGGGGTGTCAACGTTCTCGTAGCTTTAATGGAAATTTGTAGCATTTTTTGAACGAAAGGTAATTGGTTTCTGAAAATTCTGTCTCGTTTTTTTTACTCAGAAATACTGTTTTTAGCAAAATAATGTTTTTATCGCAAAAAAAATCAGGTTCATAATTTCGAGAAACTGAGTATAGATTCGGGTTCATGGACCTCGATTACGTTTGGTCAAACTTTATTAAAAAAATGTAATTTTTAGGAAACTACCTTTCGTTCAATGAACTCGGAAAGTTTCCGTCAATAGTAACGGGAACGCGAAGTGTGTTCACGCTTCTGGGACTGGGACGCAAAAAGTGACATTTCTAGTCTCTATTCAGTCGAATAAATCAAGAGCAAAACACCTGAACTGATTTCGGACTTTCAGCTTCATTTTTTGGCTCGACGTAAGTCTTAGTGACACTAGAAAAATCTTATACATGTTCTTGTGCAGGTTTCTTCATTATCGATATATGATATAAATAATATCTTAAAAGAAAAAAAAATTTCTTTTCATTTTTGAAATGTATATCTTGTGAGTCATTTGCTAACGGTTAATAAACAACTGTTGTATAAGAGTTGGTGACTCGTGAGATCACAGAGAAACAATGAAACAACAGAAAATATAGAGATTAACGAACATCAGTGTTTTTTTCGTAGATGCCCCTGACATGGTCAAAATGGATCGACTTTCGTTCGTTTTTTCTTCCCTTCCGTATTTGTCATTATTTCTCTATGATATTCCAAGTCATCAAGTCTTATACAATTATAAAATAAGAAGATTTGACTCAGCATGAGGAATTACCTCAAACTAGCCACTTTTCCAAGTGGTTCCAGGTCAATTGACTAAAATCAAGGTTTTATGAAAAATCTTATAGCTCTCAAACTGAACTATCTAGAAATGTCGCCTTTTCGTAGATCGAAAGAGGAAAATTTTTCATATCGAGCAGTTTTATTAAAAATTCAAATTGAAGGCAAAACAGCTTTAGAGTATCATTCTCGAAAATTTCCAGCCGGAGCTCACCTAATTGGTCAATAGCAAACTAGTCAAATTTCGATAGACTTTGATGACCATCGGTCTTCTCTCTTGACTGGTGAAAACCATAGATCTTTATGATATTACTATCAAAAGCTTTTCAAAAAACACTAAAGTACATCAAATTTTTAAACAATCAGTAAGTCGATTTTCTGTTCCTTTTCATCATTGCCTTTTAGTTCATATTAAAAATCCACTAATCTATTATGCTGATACATTCTCAAAAATATATATTTGATTGTTGATTGTATTGTGACAGTATTATCATTATTTATTCATATAGACATTTGACAAGTTATTTGTTTTACAATCTCAGTTAAAAATACGTGTATGAATAGGAATCGAAGTTTAATCTTTACGGCGAAATATTGTGTTAAACTTCGAAAGAGCTTTGCGAAAACCAGACCTAAAAAGTCCAAATAAATACATAATTTAATCAGAAATACATAGACAGTGTCGTGTATCAAATTATACTTTGGTTTTTTAATCGATGATACAGCTATAGATTCCTATCAAATAATAATTTACTGTCAATCCTCATTAAAATAAAACAAATAATCAATATGAACATACATATTGGGTCGAAGTTTGGTTAGATAGTTCGGATTGCACATCAACTAAAAGTGCATGATAATTATATCGTAAAGTATTTCAATTGTTTCTATCATACCTGTTGATGTTGAATTTTGTATTTGTTCATTTTTTATTGCCGTATTCTCATAAAAATTGTCTTTAGTCTGTGGACATGGTAGTGGCACAGGTTTCAAATAATTGAAAGTTCCATCTATCAAAATCAATGCTATAATAATCGCACCGAAGATTAAGTTTCAACATACAACTCTCTGTTGGTGGTCGTTGTGAAGACACTTGAGACATGTTATAAAGGCAAGTCGATTTTTTATCACAAGTGTTCTTCAGATAAAATGCATAATGAATAATAAAAATTTTGTTAGTCTTGAGAATTACCTGATGAATGTTAAACATATTCAAGGGAATCATATTTTCACAATTTGGACATGATGTAATTTCTAAAGGTGGTAATTTAGCAGCAGCTCTGAATATAGAGATAGAAAATAAATAAACGAAATTTAATTTCGCATACTTGGCAAACGATTTAACAAGACGTCGTACACTGCAAACTTTCTACGTAGTTATGAAATTGAGGAAAAGCATTGACTTCGTATTAAATAAGAGAATAGAACGTACTGTATGTGTATCGAAATCATCGATATTTATCGATTGTAGGCAGTATTCACACGGTGTATAATATTGACATAATGACTTATCCGTATTAGTTGAATTTGAAAACCGATATTCACTTGAAGAATTATCTAAATTATGGTAAAAACCAACGCTAGTTGTTTTCTCACAGCCAATGTTCTAAGCGAAACGGAAGTATAAGATTCACCCCGATTGTCTAAGTAAAATAATTTACTTTAGAAGACTGCTCAGAATTATAATATTGATGACCAGTTCTTTCTGGAAGATTATTCGTTGGTAAACTGCAAAGAAAAAGAGTCAACGATCCATTTGACCAATCTTTTTCAAAACTCATACATATTTTTCGTCACTTTTTGAGAAGTATCATTGACCTATAAAGAGATTTTTCTCATGAAATATTTTCCGTTTTATCTCTTACTTGTGTTAAATATCTTCTATTCAACGAATCTCCTTTATTTTGAAATCGCAATCTGAGTAAATCTTCTTGGATAGCTTTGAAATTAGGTCTTTTATTCGGTTCTTGTTGTGTACAGTTTACAATAATGTTCCAAAATTCACTAGAACACATATGTGGTCGTTCAAGTAATTTTCCTTTTAATCTTTCTTGATACACATTATCACTTGTTTTTAAATCTCCATAAGGTATTGCACCTTTTGAACATGCCTCCCACATTAGAATACCAAAAGAATAAACATCTGACTTTTCCGAATAACTAGTCGAAGATGTATCACAGAGTATTTCAGGCGCAGCATAACGAACTGGAATCATTGTCATTGTAGATGATGTCGGTGAGTCAAATACTGAAAAAAGTGGACTAGCTCGAGTAAGGCCAAAATCAGTTAGTTTAACTAATATTTCTGTAGATTGGTTAGAACTTGATCGAAAAACGAGTACATTACGACATGCTAGATCACCATGAATTATTCGATTATCTGCTAAACAAATCATAGCATCAACAATTTGCCAGAAAATTTCAAGTAAAACTTCAAAAGTCGGTTGAAAATTATTACTACGTAAAAGATGCCTGAGATCACCCTCAGGTGCATGTTCTTGAACCAAGATAATACTATCCGGTGAGTCACTATCAACTAATCCATAAGTTCGAACAATATGTGGATGACAACTAAGTTGTACATAAAAGCTAGCTTCACATTTTGCTCTAGCTCCATCAATCTTAATTAATACAATAGGCGGCCCATGATTTAACATCCATTTTGCTTCATAAATTGTTTTACTCGAACTTTGAAACATTGGCCGTTCTTTAGTTTTACATACATCAATATCAAGACGAAAATGATATTTTTTTTGTGATGACAATGATAAAAATTCATCGACCATCTTTTTTACAATATAATTTGGTCTTAATGTCTGCAAATCCATTGATTCACGTGTGATTGGACTTGTAGCATGTTTTTGAATCCATGCTATGATATTCTTTCGTTCATATGTATGACCATCAGCGCCAATAACAGGATCACGAAATAATTCATGCGTAATTGGACATTTTAGTGAATCGAGTAACGCCGGTGAGTTTATTTCAGTCTGCATTTTTGTGCATATTTAAATAAAAAAGAACAAATATAAAGCATTCATGCGACTCTAATCGTTCTGTATTAGGCGACAAAAGAAAACAAAAATACTGTATAAAAATGATTCATTTATTTAATTTCAATAAAAACTTTCTTTCAATGAAGTTTTGTAGATGTAGATGTCGTGCATAATGACTGCAAAATATGTCGGAAAAAAGAACTTTCCGAATATCAGCAATTGATGAGTAGTAAAATATTAATCTATTAACTGAATTTTCAAATTCAAAAAGGAAAATAATTAGCAAATACTTTCATCAAGGTTAATTAGTATTCATGTTGTTTTCTTAAAAATCTTGAATGTTAAAATTTTCTAAATTAACCCTAGCACTACCAAGTCTATTTTAGGCATTATGCCAATATGGGTGTGGCTATCAGTCTACTCTTTGCATCAACATCCTTTTTCATAGTCGGCCTTAAATTTTAAATCATAAAAAATCCTAAATGTTTTTCGAAACTAAAAAATACTAAAATATTCTCGTTAAATTTCTTTTTGCTACACTGAGGTCCAAAGGGATCCAAGTTGGTAATACTAGACTAGAGTTAAGCATGATTCTCGACCGGTTGGATGTGCGATTTGGATGGATAGAGATGGGGACTTTGCCACACGCCTTTGCTTACACAACAGCTAGAACCACCATTCTGAAGCTCTCCACTTCTCATTTCAGTAACTGTCTTCCGATTGGAAAGTGTTTGCCGTCATGGAAAGAAATAGACGAGTGCACTATAGCTCTTCTCCAGTTCCGAACGCATTGATTGCTAACCTGTGTATTTTTGATAGTTCTCTAAAATATTTTCCCGTGAACAGAAGGCGTCGCCATCACTCACCTATCTTCATTGAAGAGCGAAGTTCTTTGGCTGGGTGTTAACGGATGATAGACTGATGCAGTTGTTTAGTTTTCCACGCAGCAATTCCTTTGACATCCCAAATGTTTCCCTAGCATCCATAGAAATGCAGTAATACTTTGAAGAATTGCTTGAGCGCCTGACACCTTGATCGATTCTCGAAAATTCTCGTGGTTTCTCTGAAATATTCCTCCATTGTGAGAAAGCTATCGCCAACAATCGAGGACATTGGTCAGTATGCTGAAGATCCTCGCGGAGGTGTTATACATTAATAGGTGCCATGATGACTTGTGTCCCTTAAAAGCCTTTCTCTGTAAGGTTGGACGTAAGTGAACCCATGCAATGCATTTGTAGATGAGTGTGAGTCTGAGATCTGGTCAAGGGGGAAACAGCGTACTTTGTATTTGAAGTTAATTTGCGCTACTTCACAACATTTCAAGCTACTATAAAGTACTTTGCTCTAATTTTAAAGTACTTTATCCTACTTTAGATGCTACTTTACTCTACTTTACTGTACTTGAAGTCCGTCGTTTCTCACTTGGATCTGAGTGTGGGCTTCTCAGCGCATTCATGTCCCTTTAACAACCAGAGTCATCATTCTTTACAGTTTTCTCTTTCATTTTCCTATCATCAATTTCAGTGAGGTCAATAACTGTTCTCGATCACCTAGAGATGTAACCCGTTATCGTGAAGGTTTTCTCAGGTACCTAACACATTGACCGATTCTCTCAAATTTTTGCACTCCATCTGAAGCATTCCTGTATGATCAGACAGCTGTCGCAGTCACTTACAGAAATTGCTCAAATGATGAGGGTTTTTGCCGTGACGTACACCGAGAGTAGACTTTTAAAGCATTATGCTGTTGCTCTTAGGAAATTCTCTGTTATCCGTACGCTTTCGCCATCACTCAAAAACATTGCTTGACAGTCTTGAGATTTTCATGGCCAACTTAGCACTTTCATCAGTACATTAAATTGTTTTTCTCTTGCCCTAACGGGTTTGTCTGTTGTACTCTGGTTCTCGCTACCACGCAATTAGATTAATCAGTTCTCTGTAACTTGTTCCTCTCCCTCAGGCGAAGTTCTCTGTATCCCAATAGTTCACATTGTCATCCCAAGAGACTGGTCAATATCGCGAAAGTTTTTGCGGGTACTTTGATGCATAGTTTGTTTCTGAAGCTTTCTGCTCCACTTTTCAGGGCTTCTTTTGTGATAATAAAACTTTTGCCCTCAATCACAGACATTTTTTGATGCTTGAAGCGTTTTATTGGCACTTAGACGTATGACAGAAAGTTCACGAATTTTTGCTCTGGTTCTTACCAATTTCCCTGTAATCCCAATGTTTTCTCTGTCACCATAAGCTATTTGTTAGGTATACGGAAGATTTCTGCGTCTGACGTGGCACATTAATCAGTTCTCTTAATTTTTTGCTGATTCTCACACACTTCGTTGCCCAGGGAGTAAAAAAATGAAAAAAATTTCATTTAAATGATTATTTTCAAACTTTTCATCAAAAAAATTTCGTTACTTTAATTATTTTGCAAAAATCAAACTCATCCAGATAGTTTCATTATCTTTGTATCATTTTCATTGCTTTAAATTGTTTATTCTAGAAAAACTGAAATTACTGCATTGATTTCATTTTTTTTGCATGATTTTCATCAGATAATCTTAATTTTTCTGAAAAACTATAATAATAACAGTACTTTCTTTATTTTTGCATCGTTTTCATTCCATTAAATTGTCTATTTCAGAAAAATTAAAATCATTGCACGAGTTTTAGTTTTTTCGCATTATTTTCATTAGATGATCTTGATTTTTTTACAAAACCATAATCATTACAGTACTTTCATTATTTTTGCATCATTTTTATTCCATTAAATTCTCTATTCTTGAAATATTAAAATTACGGCATTAGTTTCGTTACTTTTGCATCATTTTCACTNGACTTGTATGTATGTAAGAGCGCTTTTGTGATATCGATGAAAACATGTTGCTAATAGGATATGTCATAGTCGTTTCACATAATGTCAAGTAAGTAAATTTATCCAAAACATACTAGTCTACAATATTTTCAATGACTAATGAACTAAAAATTACGTAAATTCTTGGTGTAAGTTCTGAAGACCAGTAAGTGAAGAACGAGAAGGAGTGTTTTAGTTCTTTTCTGATTCATTTAGGATAGAAGCTCGTAACATATCTTGAACACTCCCCAAATTTTTACCCAAACGAATCGCTGCGAAAATTTCTGTCACATACCCTACAACGTATGATAGAAAAAAAAACATTATTTTTCAGTTTGTGAAACTGTGACTCCAGCTATGATAAATTTGATTTCACCTGTTGATTGAAGAAGTCGAAATCTCCTTTGAACACGAATGAGAACACCTGGAATGGATCCTGAGCGAGACGCTGCTGAAATTACTCAAAACGGTTGCTAACTTCACCTACGTGGTCATGTTGTTTAAAGTTTTGGTTTAAAACAATTACCGGATGAATCAAATAATTATTCAATTACTGAACAAAAAGAAACACTTGCTTCATTATCAAAAACAAATAAATCAACAAAATTGAATGAGTAAATTAAAATATTTTTCTTATTTTATTAACTATTTCCTTCCTCTATTTTTAGAAATGAAACAATTGACATCAATGATAAAAAATAAATGAAGAATCAATATCATCATTAAAGATTGAAAAAAAAGAATCATTTTGATAGTTTATCATTATCAAATAATATTAAACCACGACAATGTTTTCATAATTTTAGTCATATATTTGAATTTGGCAATGGTCTTGAATTAACAACTTAATTTTTGGAGAAAAGACGTGGACGAAATACTGTGAAACAGTTATATGGTCGAAAAAAAGTTGAATAAAGAAAAACAATTTTCTTTGTTTTGTTTTCGTTATGTAAAATGAAATTAAAACAAGAAAAAAAAGTATAAAAAATATTTTTATTTCTTCAAGATAGATGATTTTTCTCTGTCATAGAATACCAACGAGAACAAAAAAAGTGTCATGCCGATCGGTGGAAATAATACTGAACCACATAAGAAACGTTCAAATAAAAAACGAACTCTTAAACAAACGTCAAAATCAAAACGACGAATAACAGAAAAAAATGAAGCAAAAAATTCTAAAAAAATGCTTGTAATGGTTTGTATTTGTTATTGTCGTTTTTCTTCTATAAAAATTGAATTAATCATCTATATTTAGCAAATTAATCTGATTTTAATACACTAACACCAGCTGATTTATCTTCTCTCCGTTGGGAGAATGTATTAAGTGATGCAACACTTGAAAATGATCGTATTGAACAATATAAAGAACTTCGACGACAACGATATTCTGAAGCTCGACAACAAGCGATTGAAACTATAGTTGAAAAAATGAAAAAAACAACTTACTATCCCAGAGAAATAAATGATGATCTTACTCGGTGATATCAGCTTTTTATATATCTTGTTTTTTTTTATCAATTAATTACTAACTCTCAATTTATATTGATTTAATAAATCTCTAACTGCACTGCACTTGTAGTGTTAATGAGAAAAGTTCCTTGATTACCAGTCGAGACTATGCGCATCATATATCAGGTCAGTCAAAATGATTGTAACATCGGGTATTTTGCAACTATCTCAACACAGGCAAATCCTAGAAGGTTAAATTTTATTTTGTGAAAGATGCACCGTCAAATTCTCTAGTAGAATGACAATAAAAAATTCCGTTGAATTATTTTAATGATTTTCTTATAAAGCTAAAACTGAAGCCCCGTGTGATGGACAAATGTTTCATTATTTCGAGAGAAACAAAAGTCAAAAAAACATTAAAAAAATTTCTTTTTATTTCAAAAAATTTTTGTATATTATTATAAAAGCTTAAGTAGAATAAAACAAAAAATCATGAATGTTCACGGAAAATATGATCACGATTATATTGTTTAACTGCGCACGAACCCGTAGAAGGATAGAGCCAAGCACTTAACAAACATAACTCAAGTGAATTTTTTGGCGTGTTTCATGTATTTGTTTTTTCAAATCTTTTCGTGTTGCGATCTTTTGATAATCAATGTTCTTTTTGATATGATGCCATATACAGTAATATAGTAGGCTCAAGTCTAGTGCATTATGAGGCCACTAATCTTCAGCTATGATACTTGAGGTTTCTGAAGCTTTTTTTCTTCATTGTTATGATGGACAATAATGACATCACGAACGTCTTTGTCTTTTATCGTTTAAAAAATCCATCTGCATAATAGAAAGGATTTTTTTCATGCAAAAATATTAGAAACTTCTACAACGCATGTTTAAAAAAATAATTTACAGTTTCATGATTTGTTTGTGATAACATATATATCCAAAAGAATCATTATTATTTCATTTTTGTTTCTTTCAAAATAATGGAAAATTTGATCATCTGACAGTGCTTCAGTTTTAGCCTTAGAAGAAGATCATTAAAACAATTCAATAGAATTTTTCATTGCCATTCTCGCAACGAAAAAGTCAACGTTATAGAATTGTCTTTTTGCATTGANCATAAAAACATAGGCTATCGAGTACGCTGAAAATCATCGTAATATCTATTCTCTTTCTACAAAAACATATTTTTTTATCATGCCCAAACGTAAATCAAATATGGTATTTCCATATGAAGTTCTCTTATAACGATTTATGGACTGTTCTCTCTTGAATAGAAGAGACAATATGGAAAACAAATTATCGTTTGTGTCACAGAGAGAGATGAATTATCTCCACAGTTATATGTGTGTGTCTTCACTTACACTACACTCACATCCACACCTACTCTTGATGCTCTATCTTTTAGTTTATAGCACGATTTTTGACTACTTTCTTGATAGTGCTCAAAAGTAAGTACACTAGCTAGCTTTACCAGGGTATATTCAAATGAATTAAAACTAGATTTTGTAGTTTTAGATGATGACTTTTTGAACGGACAAAAGAAGTCAAAAATAAAGATTCTGACCAATACTTCGTATGTTGAGATGATGCTTGCTATTCTCATGAGTGCTCTCTTCAATATTTACCAAATACTATTGACAGGAGCTTCACGATAAAGACGTGGCATCATTGATTCTTCAACAATTCCAGCAGAACCAAGACATTCTAATGCTTCATATGTTGTCTCAGGTGCTCGTTTACATATCCAAAATTTAGCTAGAGCTGAAGCTATACGAGCTAATGCTTTAGTTTCACCAGTATTATTCGAATACATATTATTATATGTCAAATCATAAAGTGTTGCAAGATACATAACAAGAGTTGTAGCTGCTTCAGATTCAAGTAATAAATCAATTAAGACTTGTTTCATTAATGGTTGATTAATTAATAATCGACCAAAAGCTTTACGATGACGAGTATGCCATGTAGCCTAATATAAGAAACAAACATTGTTATTTAATCATTCTTTATTATTATTTTTATAGTGAATAATATTCACTTGCACTAAAGCTTGTCGTATTAATGCAGCACTTGAAATTGCGCTATCTAAACGTGTACCATTAATCATATCAATAATAACTTTAACACCATCATGCTCTTTTCCTAACAACCACTTCAAAAAAAAATTCTCATTTATTTAATCAAATATTTTTTTGTTTTCATTCACTTACACCTTGAGTATTATTAAATTCAAGTTCACATGAAGCATTTGAACGATTACCAACTTTATCTTTTAAACGTTGAATATAAAATGGATTGCGTTGACCATTTGGTAACCAACGTGGAACAAAAAAACATGATGGTTTACTATAAGATGATGATTGATTAATATTATCATCATTATACATTTGTGCAAGAACAAGAAAACCATCACTCATTGGTGCTGAACAAAACCATCTAATAGATCATAAGAAATTAAATTAAATTTTTTATTTATAGTTTTTTTTTACTTATGACCAAGTAGAATATAACGTTTTTCTTGTGCATTATCACAAAAAGCTCTTGTTGTATTCGTTCGAACATCACTACCGCCCTGTTTTTCCGTTAGTGCCATTCCTAATAAATAAATTCAAAAATATTTCTTGAAAAAAAAAAAAACCTTTTTCCTAACCAATTGTTAATCCTGTTTTCATATTAGCTGGTAAACATCGTTGATCATATTTACGAGATAAGATTCGTTCCAGTGGAAAACTATCTGTTAATTTTTGGCTTGTACAAAGAAGATAACGATGAAGAATTGGATAACCGGAATAAGTCATGGATAATGGACAACAAACACCTGCTTCTACTTGTGTTAGAATATATAATCCTGCCTTGAAAAACAAATATTTATAGGGTTATATATATCATAGTTATGTCATTTAAATAGCTCACAGCATGTTGCAAATGTCCATATGAATTAAAGTTTGTTGTAGAACCAGGTAATGGTTCCCAAGCAACGGAATGAACCTATTGAAATAGAAAATCTAATTTCGTATTTATCTAGTTTTTATTAAAACAGAGAAAAACGAAATTGCTTATGCTCGATAATTAATATAAATGAATTTGTGTTTTGGAGATTTTAGTAAACATTTCTTTACAAAAATTTAAGAATTAACAAGAAAATGCATTTCGTTTTGCTATGCTATAGTAAACAAATCTAATTTCTGTATATTTGTCTTTTTAGGATAGTAGAGTTTTGACCTAGTATGATATTCAATGTAAGTAAATGCTTCAAGATTATATGAATTATTTTTTTATAATGGCAATACATTTTCATATTCCTGAAAACATCATTCTATTGCTATGCATCATCTCCTATTACTAAGTGTTAAACCATACTTTTACGAGGGAACTATCCAAGGGAATATGATTCGTTTGAGCTTATATTGGACTTATTAGGACACATTGATCAGATTAGGAAAATTCTAAAAAGATTTGTGTACATACAGTTTTGGAACTGAGTTAGAGTCGTTTCACTGAATTTTTGATTCAAACACAGGTATATACCGAAAAATCAAAAAAAACACAGGATCCCGTTGCAAAATTTTACCCATAGATACCAAAGCAGTCAGAAAAGTGAAATTGGCGCGTTATAACAAACGTCTTGCGTTCTTTCTTTGAACGCATTTTACACAGTCAAAAATGTTCGAATTTTGGCGTTTTAACATTCGCAATATTTTAAACTTTTAGATGGTTAGAACGAAAAAGGGACAAACATTTAAACACATTACTCAAATAAACACATAAAAACGCAAAAATTCGGACATTTTTGACTATATGAAATGCGTTTAGATGAAGAGCGTTTTAATGCATTTCCATGGAAGAAAAAAAATTTTTATAAATGGATTATAACACAGTTTCATGCCAGTGATACGTAGAATTAGGTACCGAACCACATTTTTACTTGTTCTGTTTTGACTCAGTTTAACTCGTTTTTATGCCAATGATACGTATTAGGTCGAGAAACATGTTTTGGCTTGTTTTGTTTTGGCTTAGTGTAGATTTGATCGAAGGAACTTATTATGAGACAGTCAACTTAACTCTAGACTAAACTTACTTCTTAAATACTAAATTTTCTACTTATATTGAACGAAACTCATGTGTATGTGTATATAGACTTTACCGCTCCTTATTCTGATAGAAGTCGATACTGAACTCAAGTTCCAATAAAAAAGCGATTTGTAAATTCGAAACGGGCACTTTAAAAATTTTACAAAAACAAAAATATTAAAAAAAAATAAACTATTTAAATATTTATATATATATACCTTTTTTGTATATAAATATAATTATATTATTTTTTTTAATATAAATATATACTGTTTTTTTATTACAAACATATTATTTATTATTAGTAATTTTTTATATAATATATTTATTTCAGCTTGAATTACTCTTCCACAATAATTTGTATATTTTTTTATTATTATTTAAAAAAAGTGAACTTATTTACTAACGTTTAAAAAGCATCAGCTTTCTTCTTCAGTGTATTTTAACAATAAGTTATATAAGAGAACATCACGACAATTGTATTTTTCTTTTTCTTTCTTTATCACTCTTTATTATTGATACGAAAGAAGAAACAAGATAATAATACTGGACGAGATGATTTAAAGTCTATCTTCTGTATTAGTAATAAAGAATGATAAAAGAAGAAAAAGAAAAATATAATTGTCCTTTTGTTCTCTTATATAATTTTTTGCTAAAATGCACTGAAAAAGATAGCAGATGCTTCCAACACATTTCTAAACTAATTGTTTTTAAATAATGATTTAAAAAAATATACATAAATTATTGTGCAAGAGTAATTCAAATTGAAATAATTATTGTAATGTTCTTTCAATGGAATATAAAATATTTATATTAAAACAGTACGAATTATTTTATTATAGAAAGGATGGCGGTGGATATGCTAGCAAAATCGGCCCTGTTTGAAATGTGTACCCCTTTTCTCTATCATTCGACTAGACACCGGTGCCATTTTTTGTGTAAACATAGCTCTGGGTATGTCCTAAAAAGTTGCAAAGACACAAAGGTTTGAAATGCTTGGGCAATACCTTTTCATAAAGCCACAATGTATTGGGTATAGAAATGCCATTGTAATTTTATGAAAAGGTATTGCCCAAGCATTTCGAACCCTCGTCTCTTTACAATTTTTTAGGGCATGCTAAGAACTATCTATGCATAAAAAATGGCGTCGGTATCTATTCGAATAATAGAGAAAAGGGGTACAAATTAGCGGGGTTTTCCTATAATTTTCAAATAAGGCTGATTTTGCTAGCATATCCACCCCCGTCCTTTTATAAAATTTCTATTATTTACAATAATTCAAAATCCACTTCAAACAGGTGTATAGGTGGATATCACATAGTACAAGTCCCACAACTAGACCTACACCCACAACAGATACTTTCTTGATACGTGATCATGTTTATCGACGCATTCTGTGGTATCACATTGCTCATTAATTAAGGTTTCTCATTAAAAATCTTTTTTCCCAAAACGTGTATTTAGCTACCGAACGAATTTAGATTTTTTCTCCTCTTGTTAGATCAATGTTTTTCTTTCAGCTCCCTAATCTACGTTCTAGTACATAAAAATATTGGGTCCTTTTTTTTTAAATGATTTGTAACAATTACATTAGTAGGTGATGGGGGACCACATTCAACCATTAAAACGTGCTGTTAACGAAAAAAATAATAATAAACTAGGTTTTAACGAGTTTCTGTCCATTGATTCTGATTCCTATACACAAACGCATTAAAACGCATCAAATCATCACCTTTTTCATAACAAATCCATTAAAACCTGTTTACATACGAAGTAACCAGTTTTAATGAGTGAAATGTTTGGAATCATGGTGCGAATGAGTTATAATGCATTTTTCTCGAGTTTTTCTATTTAAACGGGTCAAAACACTGTTTTAGCGTTTTCGTGTCTGCATGGGAACGTGTATGTCGAAAACAAAAGATGTTTTGTATAGTTTGCTGCCACTGTGTACACCTGCTATTAGAAATACTGTTATGAACAAAATGTCACATTGAAATTATTTTTCAGTGAATGACTAAAGCTAGGTCGCAAATTCAGTAAAACGGTCGTAACTCAGCTGCAAAGATCAATAGGGATGAACCGTTTTAGATTTTTGGCTAGTCTCACCAAGGAGTTCTTATAAGCTCAATATAAACTCCAACGACGAGTATCAATTCTAGTGGTGTCCTCATGAGACAGATCTATATCGCTGGATTTACACTGGATCAAATAATCTTTCGAAGAAATCAATTAATTTTTTTTTTCAGATTTATTTATCTTGCTTTTCTCGATAACTTACTCCATATCTCATTCCAATTTTCATAAGATCATGATAAGCCGGATGAAAACGAACTTCATCAATGCGTTGTCCATAACGATCGAATTGATGTAATACTGGTGGATATCGATTCGCTAGTTGACCTTGTTCAAACCAATGAAAAGTGCCTAATTCAACACCCATATCTTTAATCTGTCCTTTATTTTCTTTAGTTAGAAATTCACGTAATGCTAAATCACTTTTATATAAATCAATATATTCAAGTGGTGGAACTTGATTTGTAACTTGATGAGTAAATTGTTGAGTTAATGGTCTTCGTGGTGGATTAAATGAATCACTTGATGATTGATCTTCACTTATTCTATCATTTTGTTCAATATTATTTTCATTGGTAACAGCTGCTTTTGTTTGAGTTACAGTAGTTCGTTGAAATAATGTTTTCCTGGTAGATAATATACGAGAACGTAACATAATTTTTAATTTTCTAGAAAGCTGTAAATGTTTATCATTAACAATGTTTATTAAGTTTTTATTACATGCAGCAAAAAATTAAATTAAAGAACTATTCGTTATTTCATAAATTAATATTGAAAGCAAAAACTAACATGAAAACAAAGGCATTAAAAGTAAAATAAAAAATTTCAACGTCGAATTCCTAGTCAAAATCATGGGTAAAATTCATGATATTAGTATTGGTGGTATTGCTCTTTCATAGACTTACGTGTTATATGAATTCATAGACAAAGTATTAAATTCTTTTGATGAAGAGAAATAGAACCCTAGAAATAATACAATGGCACAAATCATTGTTGACAAAGGGAGAAGTAAAGCACGTGGTCTGAACTTTTTCTTACGACGCAAAAAATCAACGTTATCATTATTTGTTAATATTTTCTCATTTTAGACGAATAAAAAGAAGAGGAAGCACTCATTTTTTACTCTATGGGTGAATAAGGTTGATTAGCATGTAAAAATATCCAGCCAAATCATGCCATCCCAGTGTTCTTTTTCTTAAATAGTCGGTAGATGTCGTAAGTAAACGGATATCAATAATCTTTTCAGAATATCGCATTTAATACTAGCAAAAATGAATTTCAAATTACTTCAAATAGAATTTATTTAAAATGAAAATGACAATTTTGTTCAAATTCAATTCATGAACTGTTCAATGTTATCAAAATAAAAATGTTTTCTTAATGGTTTACAATTATGAATCCTAATCTAAGTCTTTGCTTGAGACAATAAATACGAAAAAAATGTTTTCACTTGAATGCCATTGTTCTTTGATGTATTTCGTTTACTATTCACGGATACACTATTATTATTGAAATGATATAATCATTTCAGGTTAGTACAAGACATTTGACAATGATAACTAAATCAATATCGACTATCGATCTCTCTCTAGTTTAACTTACGATTATTAAAACATCCATATCATCTGCAATAAAATGTTCAGTAACACTAATTCTTCGCTTCAGTTTTAATGAACTATTAAATGAAAGCTGTCACACTTACGAGAAAACGTTTTCTACTGATGAATCATTTTCTCACATAAAGCCAGTGAATCCAAGGTTATTAGCCATACTGATTTCGAATATGACCGTAAGAAATACTGTTAGATCTTCATATGCTGGTTTTCTTAAAGACTGGTTTTCCAGAAGAACAACCTTTTTGCCAAAAATCTCTTTTGATTTCTGCAGATCAAAGATGAAACAGGTTTGGACCTTTCACGATAGGTACCAGAACAGAATCTAAGTAGGTCTGACCGACTGGCCGCTAACAGATTAATCGATCTAAGATTCATACCAGCACTGGATTGACTAGTTGTCATCTATTCCATCTGTGGATAGTGATAATTGGCATAGTCAACTTTGAAGTTTTATTACACATCCTCTATGACTTACTAAAAACAAAAGCAATTAATAAGACACATCGGTAATAACCGATCTATCGACACCGATTCCATTTCTAATGTAAACTATAGAGTATATCGAATTACATAGAAAACAGGAAATTTTCTGTTTCGAATGTTTTTTTTTGCAAAAACTACAGTCATTTTAATGCATACACCAGATGCATTTCAGTCCAAAAACATTCAAAAGGATATTGTTTTAATTAAAACTTATTTTTGAAAAAACAGGAAAAATTATTGTCTTATACACAAATTGATATGCTCTGTAGTCTGAATAGATCCAAAGCGATTTTGACAAAATGTTTATTAGTCTGGAAAACCAACATATGAAGATTTAAGGGAATTTTCTATTATTACACTCGTAATCAGCATGACCGATAGCACTATAATCTAGTAGCTTTTATTGTGAAAGCGATTGATCAATTGACGATGTTTGCTCATTAGTTATCATTGTTTCATTCACCAAGAATATTCTTTTCCTTCGAACTCAAATCGGGTACTTTAACATTTATCTTCTATCAATAATTGTATATACAAAAATTTATGTTTTTCTATAATTTTTTTTTCTGTTGATTATGATATTGATATTTTATTTTGTTTTGTTTTTCCTTTAACAAATATTAATTCTTAGTCAAATATTAATTGTTAGCTTTATTATTTATTTTTTGTTGTCATTATAGCATAAGCCAATGGTAGTTTTCCTTTGAATTCTTTAAATTGATATTGTTCATCATCCGATATTCAACATAAGTTATGAAAATAATTAAATGATAAACTATGAAATTCTTTGAAAATATCAATTTTTATATGATGTTCACTTAAAGCCATCATAATATCGGCTAAACTATGATGCCAACATATTGAGTTTTGTTATATTGAAGCACTTCGATCAGTATAAGTACTTTTTGGATATTCAGCAGCTGAAAAAGAAAATAAAAATAATATAAAATTTCTATAAAAAAAACAAAACATTGTCTTCATGCTTGTTCCATTATTAAAATATGAACAATTTGCTAAATGTTCATATTTATCATCAAATATTCGAATGATTGAATGAAAATCTACAATAATAAATGAACCGTTAGGTTTTTCGATAAGTTTCAATAATATGTGTTCATTTATTTAAATCTGGAAACCATATTGTTGTATCATATGATGTAAATGCAATGTCAAATAAATCATTTTCATTATGAATTTTTAAAGAATTTTCTATTTCATAAATAGCTCAACAAATGAACTCAATAATAACATTTAAATAAATCTCTTCAGCTGATTAAGAAGCTTTATCAATTGCAACATTTGATAAATCAAGACCGATAACTTCTCTTTACTCCCGGACGTGCTAATAATAATGTATCAAACCCAAATGATATTGTCAATCAAGAATACGTTTATTTTTTTTATTATCAAGTAATTATTATTCAGTTTCTTTTAACGTAAGATAGTTTTTATTTAAAATAAATTCTTCAACATTATAATGTGATGAATCAAAATGATATTTTGTTTTTGTATTTCACAAATCACGGTTAACAGATATATAATCGTTTTGCATTTTATTTCGGCTCACATAAAATAACTTCATTTACTCATTTCGAATCACTATTTTATCGTTGTATTGTTTTATGTACTTTTATCATGTGAGACAAAATTTGCACATCGATTTTTCTTCAGTTAGATAAGAGAACAAACAAAAAGTCGTAGGTCATGAAACCCACATTTCTTATATAATTGACTTCAAATTCTAATCAATCATGTCACATATGAAAAAACTGTCTAGAGTGCCATCATATATCTATCGATTAAATTAAAGTGACTTTCAATCTGTTGCGGTCACTCGTCTTCAGTATTGTCTATCATATGATACCAAGATTTGTATGCCTTTGAACTTGATATAAATATGACTGTCAATATTCTGACAAATAGATCAAATAATTCTCCAATCAAAGTAACTAATTTCCGTATACGGGATTTATTTGATGTACTTTAAATATCACATATTCTACAAGTTTGTATACCTTTTTTCTCCTCCGTGAAGATTATTCAATGAAAGAAGGATAATAAGAATGATTAGTATTTCTCTCAATTCTAATTATAAAAAAATATCTGTCAGCCACAGTTAGAATTCTTTTTTCAAAAAAGAAAGCATAACCTTGTTTTAATTTGTTTATACAAAGAAAAGTCTATATGAGAAATAATCAAAAGAATTCATAGATTGCGAAAAAAAAGATTTCAATCTTAATAAGGAAAATATAAATTTATAAAGAATTTTTACCTAAAGTAATTTTCAGTAATCCAAATTTCAGTCTTAAATATTATTTAATAAATTACCATGGAAATAAAAGTATTCATGACATACCCATAAGCAGAACTTTGTGACCTTCTACTCAAATTATATGTAATAAAATCGAGAACATTTTAACTGATTGATTGCATTCATTGTTCCCCAAAAAAATTGATTTCATCTAAATTCAATTTATCGGACTGTTTTGGCAATACGAATGCACGTTGTTAATGTTGCTACAATATTACCAGCTAATGCATTACATGTCAATATTCTATAAATATCAAAATTTATATTAGATTGAATAGAATAAACTATGATAAAAATAGAAACTATAAAATTCTTTACTAGGAAAACTTTCATAAATCAATCAATAAATAATTCAAAATGGAACATCATGACATTGAGTATGTACTGTGCGTTTTCAAAAAAATATATAAACTTTCTTCAATTAAAGATTTTATTAATAATATAAAGTAATTATCAATAGAATAATTTTTCTAATTAAATCTTTTTGTTGGATCCAATTCAAATAGTGAAATTTGTTGTTATATAAATAATACATAAACATACATCGAGCAGAATAAAACTATATAACATTTCCTCATAGCAAAATAATTCTTTGACATTTATACATCTTGTAAAGTAAACAAGAATTGTATGATATAAATATAGACATAAAGCCGCTACTAAACCAGACCGTAGAATATAAAATCCATAAACTCAAATACACTTGTTGATACATCATATAACCTCAATATAATGTAATAGAAGAGAAAAATTTTAATGAAATTTATTTCGATGATAGAGATAACGAGTCTCTAAACATCAGTCAAGTAACATTTGATGCTTATGATTATAATCCCACATTTGTTCAAGTAAAAACAAATATATATATAATAAAAGATATAAATATTATTTTACTTGTACTGATTGATAACATCTAATACCTTGAAAAAGAAAACAGAATGAATAACATGAGTTAAAAATATATATAGTAATTGCAAAAAACTGATTTTACTATATTACTCTTTTATGTTATTAATGAATAAGACAAATGTTTTTATACATAGTCTATGACGAAGTTTGTACTGAATCATATTTATTTTTGGGTTTGTTGTGGCAAAAGGGTAGATTAAGAATAGGCAAATTGTTAATAATTCTCCTAGTTACTATTACACGTACATATAATGTCATAAAGACAGCAGAACCCGAAGCAATTCTGTTTTGTAAAGATGTTTGTTATTAGTGATAATACTAGATCGCTGATCCTAT